CCAGAGTATTGCTCGTAGCTATCGCATTTTTCAGGCACTGCCAGAAGTAGGGCTGAGATCGAGGGTTAGTTGGCCACTCCAGGACAGAACTTCTGCACAGTCTCTTCCTCAGCCGGACATACCGGGACTTGTGCAAAACCTGCTCAAGAAATATCAAGACAATGACATCCATTTTTTCATCTAGCAGCCGCTGGTGGGCCATGTAGAATGCTGTCCTGAAGCGGCCGCTTTGAATATACCTGTTGGTCAGCACAAATACGGTCTTTTTGCTCAGCTGGATGCTCTGGGAAAGGTTGTCAAAGACCGGCTGTCCTGGGAGCCAGTCCCTTCCTTCCAGGCATAAATTGAACTGCCTGGCTTTTTGATCTTCCAACCTTACAACCAGTTCCTGCAGCACCCACTCAGTCACGGCTGGATCGTCATTGTCGTAGGCAATAAAAGCGTCGTAGCAAGCATCTGGTAAAGACAAGCGCCGATAGCCCTTCAGCTTGGCCGTGCAGTAGTGGTAACTATACCACATGTCCCAGAAATAGAGATGATTGATCACGGTGAACACCATAAGACCCAGGACAGCTGAAGCTGACACAGCGTACAGGATCACATACGAGGTGTCCAGCTCGCAGGTGTACAGATCCAAGAAAACCACGCTCCTTCCTCTGTGTGCCCCTGGGCCAGCACAGGTCACGTCCGTGGCCAGGAGAGGAATCGTCACCTGAGTCTGATTGATCCACCACACAAACCACACGGCTTCACAATTGCACTTGAAAGGATTGCCGTGCAAAAGCAGCATCTTCAGGTTGTTGATGACGTTTTCAGGGAAGCTAGATTTCTTAATTATTTGGATCTTGTTTGAGCTGAGGTCCAAGTATTTCAATGTAAAAGCACCTCTGAGAAAATGCTTGCTTAGCCTTTGAATGCGGTTGTTTCGCAGCATCAGTTCTTGGAGCGTTGAAGAGCAATTAGACAACTCTCGGGGAACAGTGGACAGAAGGTTATTGCTGAGGTCCAGAGTTTGTAGTTTCTTCAGATAGTGGAGTTCTCCCCATTTGAAACTCTTCAGCCGGTTATTGGTTAAGTTGAGGATCTTGAGTTCTGGAGGCATAGCTTCAAAAACACCATGAGGCAAAAAACTGAGTGAGTTGAAGGAAATATCCAGTTGTTCCAGGCGGCTCAGATTCTTGAAGAACGACAGGTATTTAGCATTCCCATCCATCCATAAAACATTTAAACGATTTCCTCTGAATTCTAAAATTTGAAGAGATTGACTTTCTATGCCTGTGTTAGTAGTGGTAGCAATCTCATTCTCATTCATCATCAGCTTCTTCAGATGGACCAAGTTTTTCATAAAACTAAGGTCATGACTAACACCTTCTGCTAGGAAATAGTGTTCATTATTACTCAGGTCTAGAACTTCTAAAAACCTTAGCTCTTCAAAAGCAGTTGAGTACAGCAAGTCAATCCTGTTTTTAGAAAAATCCAGATATTTCAATCCAGGTAAGTAGGAGAATTCACTTCCATTTAGAGTTTGACTTATTGCATTACCTGACAAGTTGAGGCATTTGAGGGAACTAAGACCCTGGAAGTCTAACGAGTTAATAAAAAATATGTTGTTTATGCTTAAATCCAGAGTTTCTCCATATTTCAGGCACTCTTCCTTAACTGAAGACTCATCGGAAGCAGTCTCTT